TCCAACCAAGTAGCAAAAGGAACCCAATAGTGTTTTTGTTGTACTTTGTGTAATGTACATCATCCCTTTGTTCCGAATCTTCGGATCAATCACATGGACTCGCAATCGACAGATCCTTTTTCAAATCCATTCCAACTCGATGGCACGGGAGAATTAGATATGGACTGGCATGGTGGCAGAACTCTGAGTGTATCAGAAACTAGTCATTTCATAAACAATGGAGGCTTTATTAAATGAACGGCAAGTCATACCTAGCCTTCAAGCAAGAGTTGCTATATATGGACTTTCTGGAAAACTTCCAGTTTTCCACAACCAGAAACTGCAAACATAAGAAGACTGGCGACAACTTGGACAATCTATACCAGCAACATCCAACAACACTACGTGTATCATCGTGTATCAGTGTAGTGACCCCTGCCTGAGTAGACATAAAAAACGGTGTGACAATATGGAAAGACTTTTCAGGCCAGCTTAATACCACAGTTAATAAACTCTATATTATGATGATACTAATTTCTTAACAACAGTCATGATAACATATGACTCATGACCCACGCCTTTTTCAGAAGCCCTGGCCCCCCTCAAAATCCCTCACTTTCTCCACGGAACCGTCGTGTGAACCAGGTTCGCTCCCAGGGATTAGCCTGTCGGGAATGACCTTCAGCGAACCCAGGCGGGGCGGCGAGTTGCGCCGTTTGTTTCGGTGTCGAGACGGAGACCGAACACGAAAGGCGATTCCAAGAGCGAACAAGAGGAGGCCATCAGATATGGCCGTCGTGTGCTGGCTCAGTGTGTGCTTTCTTTTGGGGTGTTCTGTTCTCGCAAAGGGTTTACTTTGATCGTTTTAAGTTGGCTTGAATTGTCCGGCCGATGCTTGCTGAACTTTTTGGGTTCTACTTTTAACCTTTTTCGAAGGCAGGAGGGAAGGGAAGGACATGGCCAAGATGTGATGGGGGTGATGTGCCCATCTTCGCGGGTCTGGGAACTTATTTTGTACTCGAAATTAACCGAGCCTCCTGATCTCTTTGTTGGCCCTCCTGTCATGTGTTCATCTTCGTGACCTATTCACCTGTGCCGTGTATTTGGGAATATATATACTGGAGGCTAAGGAATTACTTATATATTATATTATATCTTCATATATATTGTTCTATTTCTGCACCGATACCATAGCCGCTCCGCATCGAGAAAACCCCGCGCTTCGACCGTGCATAGCGCTTTTCATGGTAGCGGAGCTGGCCGCTTAAACAACAGCAGAAGATCCGATCAGCTGGTGGATGCGCCGCCGAGGACTTTCACCCCGAGGGAACTTAGTGACACGTTCATCTGAGACGGGGGAAGTGCTTCTGCGAGGCATCGCCAGCACGCGCCCGAAGGGCGGAACCGGATTCCGTTTGAATTGGACACTGTTGGGCTGGAGGTTGATCATTGCGTTTTTTGACATTAGTTGGACTTGCATTTACTCCAGTTGTCTTCAGTGTTCTGATGGCGGATGGTGCTGCAAACGGTGGAACAGGTGCCAATGATTTGGGCCAGATTGTGAACATGTTGCAGGCAATGGCCAATGAACAGCAGCAGCAGCGTGCTAGGTTGGATACATTGCAGCAAGCAGTTGGAACGACAGCTCAAGGTGTTGGCGTGACACAACAGGTGACTGAAGGTGTTGTTCAGGAAGTTGTTCAACAGGTTCAGGCTGCAATGCAACAGAATCAGCAGGATGCACAAGGGCAGATCCAACAGATGCAGCAAGGTCAGGTGATGATGCAACAGCAGATTGAGGCTGCCATTCAACAGAGTCATCAGGAGGTGTTGAATTTGTCCCAGGCATTGCAAGGTATGCAACAACAGATGCAGCAGCAGACCGCAGCACAGATACCAGTTCCAGGATCACCGCCACAGGCTCCTCATGTTGCACCCGGAGTTCAAGGTTCACCGCAACATCAGGCTCATGGGTCGCCACTTGGAACCCCTCCTATGGGAGCAGCGGGTGCACCGAATGCTCAGTTCATTCCACTGCCAAATTTGAACCTTGGCGGACATGCAGGGGTAGCTGGGCTCGGAGGATTGGGGCCAGGTGTGAATCCGGCAATCGCCTATGCCATCCAGCAAGGTGGAGTTGATGCTAAGGTGCTATCAAAACCCAGCACCTATGATCCTGTCAAGAGTCCTGGATATGCTGCATTCAATGATTGGAGTGATCATGTGATTACATGCGTTGATGCACAGATTCCAGGGACTTGGGAGTTGCTTGAACACATCAAGGACACACAACCGGTAGCACAAGTTTCGATTGATGATTTGTCATTGCATTTTCCCAACATTGACAGAGCAACATTGGAGTATTCAAATTCCAATTTGTATGCAGTGTTGATCACATTCACAGTTGGTGAGGCTCGCAACATTGTCAGGCAGGCAAGACGGCCAAATGGGTATGAGGCTTGGAAGTTGTTGCAACGACGCTTCAATCCGGTGACCATTGGTCGGCAGAGAGCGGGCTTGACTACGATTGCAAATCCACCCTCGAATGTTCCTATGGCACAGTTGGCCGGAGAGATTGTGTCGTGGGAAACAAAGATCACGGAGTTTGAAGCAAGGCCGCATGCAGAGAAGATCAGTGAAGCGATCAAGATGGCCGCAGCAGTCTCCATGTGCCCCAATCGGCTGAGAGAACATCTACAGTTGAATGCTCAGAGGTATACCACATACATGGAGCTGCGAGAAGAGATTTTCACCTACATTGAACACACCCAGTCATTGACCGCCACCAGCATGGACATTGGTTCATTGCAGTCGAAGGGCAAAGGAGGTGGTTGCTTTGAGTGTGGAGGACCGCATCTCATCAAGGACTGCCCCAAGAGGGCCAAAGGTGGTCAAGGAGCTGGGAAGGGCAAGAGCAAAGACAAAGGAAAAGGTAAGGGTGGAAAAGATTTCAAAGGAAAAGGAAAAGCATCATCCAAGGATGGCGGCAAAGGCAAGAGCAAGTCCGGTTGTTCAAACTGCGGGAAGGTGGGCCATACAGCTGAGTATTGTTGGAACAAGAAGGTGAAGCCGTTGAATTCTGTTGATCCAAGGTTGTCACAACTACAGTCAGAGTACGCCAGGAGAGCGGTGGAGGATTTCCAGCGGATCAACAGTGGTTCCAATGCAGTGCAGGCTGTACAAGGATCCCCGCAGTCAAGTGTTGTTGGAGCATTGTCACCGGCCAGCTCAGTGTTGGGTCCATCAGTGTCTCAGGCTCAGCAACAGGTTGGTGGCATTACCATCAAGAGGTTGTCGGCATTGAGCAGTCGGCATGCGAAAAGGGCAAGAGGCTCAGGAGCGGGGTCAAGTGGGGATGGACAAGGGACAGAGCAGAACATTGATTTGACCTTGTCATCCAAGACGTATGCAGTGCTTTCAAATGTTGACAGTGGAGCAGCAATGTCAGTTTGCCCTCCGGGAACATTTCCAGACTACCCGGTGCTGGCTAGAGATGATGAAGAAGAGATAGTTTTGGTTGCAGCGAATGAAGAGACCGTTGAGCATTATGGTGAGGTCAGGCCAATTGTGATGACATCAGAAGGCCACTTGAGAGAGATGGTGTTTCAGGTGGCAGCAGTTGGCAAGGTGTTGACATCGGCGGCTCAAATCTGCAACCGAGGACATCGGATCGTCTTGGAGTCGGAGGGTGAGCGCAGTTACATTGAAGACAAGGAAACGGGTGATACATTCAATTTGTATCAAGAGGATGCAGTTTTCAATTTGTATCTTCATGTGATCCCGTATGCCGAGACCACGGGTTTCTGCGGGCAGCCGACGGGGAGCAGTGCCCCGGCGGATCCGCAGGCGTAAGGCCCCGCTATGAGTTGCATGCATTGGATGAGGAGCCACAAGAGTTGAGAGATTCAGGTTCCCATCCCGAATTCGATGATGATGTGAGTGACCGCAGTGACCTATACCAAGGCCACACTAGAGTTCCTGAGTTGCCACTTCCGGATGACTATGAACAGTATGAGCCAAGTGAAGGAGACTTGGACGTTGTGGCACCTCATGCAAGAGAATTAGAGGATGAGGTCCAGGAGGCTACTTCAAAGAAACTTGCACTCCGTGTTCCTATTGGACCTACAGAGGAGGAGAAACGTGAGCATATGATCAGCCACATTCCGTACAGAAGCTGGTGTGCAGATTGCATCAGAGGCAAAGGTTTGGCTGAGGCGCATCGGAAACAGAGACTGGGTCAAGATGCTAAAGAGCAACGGAGACCTTTGATAGCATTAGATTATTTTTATCTTGGCAAGGATGAAGAGCAGAGTTTGCCCATTTTGGCCATGGTAGAAGAACAGACCGGCAGAACATATGCCGTTTGCATGCCAGAGAAGGGTGTACAGCATCAATACAATGTTGCAGCAGTCTCAAAGCTTTTGAAGGTTTCGGGATGCCTTGGAGGAGTTCTGAAGAGCGACAATGAGAGGTCGTTGGTTGCTTTGAGAAACGAGTTGCAGCGTTTGTTCCCTTCATTATCATGTGAAGATGCTACCAAAGGTGAGTCGCAGAGCAATGGACTCATTGAGAGTTACATTGGGAAGATTGAGGCCCAGGCTCGAACTATGAAGAGTGCACTTGAACGACATTATGGACCGATACATCCACGGCATTCAGTGTTGACTTGGTTGGTTGATTATGCAGCAGCATTGCTCAGCAGACACAATCGAGGTGCAGATGGGTTAACTCCATTTGAACGTTCGACTGGAAAGCCGTGGAGAGTTAGGACGCCAGAGTTTGGTGAGTGTGTATGGTACCAACCATTGAAGGGCGAAAGATCTGGAAGCAAGCTTGATCCTAAGTTTGATGAAGGCATCTTCTTGGGCATTCAGGAGGGATCAGCCATGAAGTGGATTGGTACAGGTACAGGAGTTCATCGATGTTGGACAATCAAGTGCAAGTTTGGAGGTGACCGATGGGATGGTTCCCTACTCAAACATATGATCGGACTTCCGTGGCAGCTACGTCCAAAGAAGGACATGGGAGAAAAGAGTTTGCCAAAAGAGATCGAGGTTGACTTGCCGGCATTGGATTTAGAGGCTGCGGAAGCGACGCAAGAGAAAGAAGTGAAAAGGAAGAAGAGCTACAAGCCCCGAGGCATTTACATTCGTCGGGACATTGAGCTTGAAGAGTATGGATACACTCCAGGTTGTGACGGTTGTGAAGCAGCTAAACTTGGATTGAGTCACAAACAACATTCTTCAGCTTGCAAACAAAGGATCAGGGAGGCCATGTTGCAGACTGAGGAAGGTCGTGACAAAGTGGAGCGCATGGAGCGTCGTGCAGAGCGTTTCATGGTGAAGCTCAAGGAGCAGCAAGATGAGGCAGAAGCTCGAAAGAGGAAACTGTCCATGGATGAGCCACCAGAGGCGAAAGTTCCAAAAGGGGCTGAGGGTGCACTGGTGGAGGAGGTGTCGGGTCAGGAGGGCATTCCTGACATCGAGTTCATCGAGAAGCCGCCTGGAACAGCAGCTGACTTACTTGATGATGGCATGGGAGAAGAGCGTGGCGTGGAGGAACAAGCTCAGGTGATGGACATCAGTTCACTCCAATTGTTTTCATTGAGCAAGCACGGTTTGTGCCATCCTTGTTTGAGAGAATCTTCTTGGTTGGAAACACAACAGATGTTGAGTGATGATTTCATTGAGCAACAACAGATCAAGTTGCAGTTGGGGAGCTTGAGCTTGTATGATGCCTACGGCGTTGATCAGACAGGTCGGAAACCAGTTGTCGTTGAGGTGTTTTCTCCGCCACGGTTGACAGCATTTGGGCACAACAAAGGCTTGATAGCAGGTGTGGCATTAGACTTGAGGACATGTGACCATGAGGGCATTCCTTGGGACTTCACACAAGCAAGCAGACGACAAGCAGCCCATTTGTTAGTTGATGAATTACAGCCAGAACTTCTAGTGGGTTGTCCGCCGTGTGGACCATTCAGTATTTTGCAAGGCTTGAATCAGAGATTTGCAGATACATGGGACAACGTGCAGAAGCTGGCGGAGGCAAAAGAGCATCTAGCATTTTGCTGCGAGCTCTACCGGAAGCAGATGAGCAGGAAGAAATACTTCTTGCGTGAACATCCTTTTCTTGCAACCTCGTGGAATGAGGACCCGATGAAACAGCTTGAAGAGCTTGACACAGTTTACAAGGTTCGAGGGGACATGTGTCAGTTTGGTATGCAGGCAGAGGATGAGCATGGTGTTGGAGCTGTGAAGAAACCATCCGGCTTCATGACGAATTCAGAATGTATTGCAGAGCAGTTGAATGTTCTTTGCAAGAATGTGAACAATGAACTCAAGGTTTGGAAGCGAATTGATTTCAAGGCAAACAAGTTGCAACTACTGAAGAAAGGAGGACCTGCATGGAGACAAGTCGTGAGAAGAGTTACAATGGATCTCAACACATGAAGTGCTTCAAGATCTTCAGGATTTCCAGCAAGCCACTCGTTCACAGTTGCATCAAAAGTTGTCGGGACAGCCACGTGACATTGTTACCATTTTCTACTACAAAGACGACAACAGTCAGTGGCATCGGCATGTGCAACTCATTGGTGGCAAAGCTAAGCAGGCAGAGATTTATCCAGATGGTCTCTTGCAACGTATCTTGAAAGGGTTGAAGCAACAGATGCAAAAGAAGTCACCACTTAGTTCTTTGGAGTTTGGACCCGTGAATGAAGAACCATATTTTGATCAGACGGTGTTGGACGAAGAGGACTGGACAACATTCATTGATGAAGTTTCGGGCAAAGCACTTGAAACAGGCAAGGTGAGGGCAGCTCGTGCAGAAGAGATTGACTATGCCACTCGCTATAATGTCTGGACATTGGTTCCAACACAGGAGGCATGGGATGTGACTGGGGCTGGACCCATCGGATCCCGTTGGATAGACATAAACAAAGGTGACGTTGAACATCCAAACTACCGAAGCAGGTTGGTAATTCAAGAGGTGAGGCACAGTGGCGTTGAGGCAATTTTTGCAGCTACACCACCCTTGGAATCCATCCGTGTTTTGTTGTCACTTCAACGTTCAGGCAAGCAAGGTTACAAGGTGATGTTTACAGACATTAGAAGAGCACATTGGACTGCCAAGATTGAAAGAACAGTCTATGTTCGTCTTCCACCAGAAGCTGCAGAAGAAGGCTACTGTGGCCGGTTGAACAAGGCCATGTATGGTTGCAGGGACGCAGCTCGACAATGGGAGATTGAGATCACAGACTTCTTCACAAGTCAAGGCTTTACCCCAGGGTTGGGGAGTCCAGTGTTGTATTTCCACAGTGTTCGTGACATCAAGATTTCAGTTCACGGGGATGATATCACTTCATTGGGTCGCAAAGATGATCTTCTTTGGTTGAAGAAGCAATTGTTGACAAGATATGAGATCAAAGATGGTGGTATGTTGGGACCTGATGAAGGTGACGTGCAAGATGCGATGATCTTGAACCGACTTGTACACTATGGCCCGCATGAGACGACAATTGAGGCCGATCCTCGGCATGTGCAAATTTTGGTCAAGGAGTTGAACTTGACTGAATCTAAGAGCGCCCCTACAGCAGGCGTGAAGAGATCTGAACAAAAGGAAGAAATGCTCACACCAGAAGAGAGCAGCAGGTTCAGAAGCTTGACTATGAGGGGTTGCTATCTTGCATTGGATAGGCCGGACATTGCTTTTGCGTGCAAGGAGCTTGCAAGGGCCATGGCAAAACCTTGTCGGTCGGATTGGAATGGCTTGAAACGGTTGGTGAGATATTTGCATGGTGCTCCTAGATTGATTTGGAAGTATCCCGAGCAGCTGGCACAAGAGCACTTCACTATGTATACTGACAGTGACGATGCTGGTTGTTCAAAGACTAGGAAGTCAACATCTTGTGGAGCATTGATGCACGGTTCACATCTTCTCAAGTTTTACAGCAGCACACAACATGTCATTTCATTGAGCAGTGGTGAGTCAGAATTTTATGCAGGTGTGAAAGCAGGTTCAACATTGTTGGGAGCGATGTCGATGGCTCTTGATTTTGGTGAGACCAAGCGAGGTCGATTGTGCTTTGATGCCACAGCAGCAAAGGCCATGTTGAGCAGGAAAGGGCATGGCAGAGCAAAGCATATAGATCGATCGTTTTTGTGGTTGCAGCAACGAGTACAGAACCAGGAACTTGAGTTGAACAAAGTTGGTACTCGTAAGAACATTGCAGATCTTGGTACAAAACATTTAGACAGACTGCAAGTTGAAGCATTGTTACAGGAGATGAACCTTGAGTACGAGTTGAACGAGCATAGGATGACCCTCCATGTGTAAAGATGGAACCATCAACAAAGGTGAAGGTTCCAGGAGGGCATGCACCGATACCATAGCCGCTCCGCATCGAGAAACCCCCGCGCTTCGACCGTGCATAGCGCTTTTCAATTTCGCATGCCTGGCAATGACATTTGATCTTCTCTTCGCCTCATGGTGTTGCTCATGATCCGCCTTTCAGGCGTGCGGCATCCATCGCAGAAGCCACACATCTCAGCTGAGCACCGTCGTCCGAACGGACCCGTGACGGACGGACAGTGACGGTGCCAGGGGTTCGAACGAGGGGGTGACTTCAGGTCACTTCAGGTGACTTCAGGTCACTTCAGTCTTGCGCCCGAGATCCACGGTTCCTAAAGTTAACATACAATCCAAGTCCAGTCTTAGCGGTACCCTTGTTGCTACTGATTTTCTATCCGGCTTATCTTTTTATGCCCCACACTGCGGGTGATTACCTGGGGTCGTGGACGGGGTCGCCGCGCCACTCAGGTTGAATACCGACAGGTGCTTCTGCTATTCACCTTGGAGTCTGTGCGACAGTGCGCTTCCTCGCTTCACTTTCCGAAAGCACAGGTAACAGACCTCTGGTTTAATAGAGTCATGCCCAAAACTCGAGAGACACCATTTTCCCTAGTGGCCCGGCCCACTTAAACATGATCTAGATATCGGATACCACACCTATGCAAGGCCCCAGGTTACTTCCAGCTAGTCAATATGGTCTGAGGACGACATTACTCCTTGACTGTTGGAAGGTACGAGGCACTGTCAAACCTGTGCTTGATGTTCACGGTCCTTCTGCTGATGCTTCTCATGTGTCCAGAACTCAGTCGAAGATCGGGCGCTGGAACGTTGATTGAACACATCTGAGGTTGCACTAAAAATAAGGATACCTCCCAGTTCGACCCCTTAGAAGAATGGAACATATACCAGTCTACTCATTGGGCCAGCGGGGTCCCTCTCTCTACTTCAGTACACAAACCTTGTCAGACTGAGATCGTTGGCCCAGGCTTCTTGATGAACTCCAGCGTCAACAATGTGGTTTTGAGGCCGCCGCTGCCTCAATGTTTGAAAGTGGAGAAGTGAAGACTCCAGCCTCCAGATGTCAAATATGGTCAAATCGTTGCTTCTTTCTTTTTTTAAAACTGTGTGGGTATTTTTTCCCACAGAAATGACGGATAGATGTTGCCCTCTTTTTGATTTCCAAGCACTGCAGCTGAGGCTGCAGCGTGTGGTCACTGTCTTGAGACAGCATTGCGCTCCTCGGTGCGTAGACATTTGGGGTGCACCGCAAAGATTGGATCCGCTCGATTGGAAGCCTTGCCCGCTTCCATTTGAAGGCCCAATTCACGGCACCCATAGAAGACATGAGAATGACCAGGGAGTGATGTGAGTTTTGATGCTGTGGGCTATGGTACAGCTGGATATTGAATAAATTGGAATCTACCGATTCCCCACCTGCGGGTTGTTATACTTGATCAGAGCTGTCCTCTCCTCCTCCTCCTCTACTAGATCGCTGTGGGCACCACCCGGCCTGAACCGCGAGCGCCAGATCGCAGTGGGCACCACTGCGAGAAAGAATGTCAGCAAATATGCCAGATAGAAGAATCGATGCCAGATATACTGTCGGAACTTGCACCAGAAAGTGTCAGAATCCATGCCAGAAAGTCATATGTTCCACTTCCAAAAGAAGAATATGTGCCAGATCGCCAGAATGTGTGCCAGATAGAATGCCAAATTGAATACTAGAGTTTTTATTATACCAGATAGAGTGCCAGAACACATGCCAAAAAGAATGTCAGAAAATGTGCCAGATAGAATGCCAGAATATACGTCAGATAGAACGCCAGAATATGCCAGAGTATGCCAACATATTTACCAAGTAGAATGCCAGAATCATTTGTACCAAACAGAGTGCCAAAATATTTACGAAGGCAGAGTGCCTGCCACCACATATGCCAAAAAACATTCAACATAGCCACTTTCTGGGTGATACAGTATTGAGACTATATAGCCGTTGGTGATCAGCAGAATGCAATAGCATGGTGGGGATCTCTTGAAGCAAAGCAGCTACAGGTGCTTTCGATGTTTTCATGTTTTCAAGACTCATAGCAATCATAACCATGCAATTAAAAGTTTCCTGTTCCATTATGTTCCTTTCTGTGGGGTCGACATCGACGGACGCTTTGACATGACCTGTACATCCACACAGCCACACTGTTTTTGCGGTGCAATTTTGAAGGTCGGGTACCAAAACAAGGCCCACCAATGAAGGCGACTTTATAACCAGATGAAGGAAGGTCCATGCAGTCAAAGTCCGCAGACGTGATCGAACTCAGGCGGACATCATGAAGATCAACTTCGAAGTACCCAATGAAGAGGTTGAGGCCAGGGCGGGTGACGGGTGCAGTCCGCCCAAGATGGGGACGTTGGTTCCTCAACTGGACTGAAACATTGAAGCGAATAGAGCTTCCAACATCTGTGGAATTGTCATTCGTAAGACTAGTATTTGTGGTTCTTAGTCGTTCGCACATTTCCAGAAGGCCATCTTGGCTATAAGTCCTTCAATATCTTAAAGATATTGAAGGACTAGTGACTAGTGGACTAAGGAAGTAGCTAGCAGCTAGTTTTTGGACCCAAATTGACACGTTTGCGTTCTTCAGTGTCCACCCACGTGAGTTTCTTTCCGCTCGACCCCATGCGGCATTGAGACAGCCAAGCGAAGTCCCGTTTGGTCAGTTTCTGGCTCGTAGCAATTCTAATTCTCCAAAACGTTGTGAAGTGGGCCACATGACCAGGGCCAACTTGGCCCGTGCTTTGCACCAAGTTACCCAAAGGACATGCACAGTCTGCACAGTGGTCACAGTGTTCTTAGGGTTGACAGGGGCCCAAGAGGGAGAAGTTGCAGAAGGATTCGTCAATGTCCCCTGTCCATGAGATTTACGCCAATTTACGCTCTAAAAATACTTTTGAGTATCCCTTATGTACATGGCTTTGTCTCCAAATGCACAACTTGCTTTGCATTGTCTTTCACTGTCGGACCAGCCTGGCAAATTCGACAATGTCAGTAGCCCATTTGATGAATGCTTCTCCCCAAACTTGATGGGCAAGCACTTCTGGGAGTCCAATCAGATGTTGCTTTTTCTAGGCTTTCCATGGGTTGATCAGGGAGACTGGATCTCGCAAGAATGCCTCAATCATAATTCTCGATCTTCGAGGAAGTAGACCTACATTCAAAACAGGCAGATCGATATCTATACTTCCATGGCTCTTTTTTGCGGCATCTCGGGCGTCTGAACCACTGGCTTCCAGGCAAGACGCACGCATTCAAAGGAACTCTCTAGTGATGGTGACGAGAAGGACGCAAGAGGGCTGCGGAAGAGAGATTGATATCGACAGAAACTTATGGAGCTCGTTAAAAAGCCTGTGAGGTGCGACAGTGATCAGGGGGGGCAAGCGTTTAGAAGGGCGGGCTGTGCAATTTGATTATGACAGCTAATGAAAGTGAAGAAGATCAGCAATTCGCTGCAAAAAGACCATGTGTTAGGGGTTTGTCTTGAATAGTGCACAGTCCAAAACCTTCACTTTTTACTATGGGCAGCTTGTGGCTCTTGCTCTCTTGCTCGAGCCACACTCTCAGTGCGTTGCCCCCAGTTGCCAAGATTGAGGTGATTCCACTTACAGTATATCATTTGTGTGGCAAAAAAATGATTAAAGTCTTTGACATGAAAATCGATGTAACGACATGTCATGCCATGTATTGTAACGACGACCGAGACCGAGACCACTCGTCTCTTGGTCTCCTCGTCGACTCGTCGAATGGGTTTTGGGTGTTCCGATCTGCAGGACCAAGAGGTCGAGTTGTTAGAGAAGGCACCGTTGTTAGTCACTGGATTCGTGGGATTCGGCGTGGGAACGAAGAGAACGAAGAGGTCTGAGAAGAACCTTCGGAAAAGCGTGGGATGAAGATGGGAACGAAGAGAACGAAGAGATCTCAGTGGCAGAGAAGAGGCACCGTTTCGCGTGGGAAAATCACTCGTTGGCCCCGCTCGGTTTTCTTCTTCTGTATACTGTTAAAAAAGAAGACCAGTCAACGACAGACGCAGGATCTGGTCGCAGGACCGTGACCTTGTGGTGATCTTCTGGGTGGTTATTGCAATTGTTTGGGGTAGACTGGGCTTTCAAGTTGACAACTTGGAACTTGAAGCACCTACGGACACATGGTCTTCGGGACAGATGCGCCGGCATCGATCCTTTGACTTGTTCGAACTTGGAGAGCTCGACGAAGGTAGTTCGGATGCATGGGGTCTTGAGGCTGGATGATCTTTGGGACCGACGAGGCTTCTTGAGCTGGACATGCCATCCCTAGGGATCCAGTCGTACCTTGTCAGCTACGGTGAGGACGGAGACTATTTATGTAGGAGCCAGGAGGTTCCAGTTGTACCTTCTGAGGACGTACGACTGGATCCCTAGGGCACGAGTTCCCTCCAGCCTTCTTGAGACTCATTGACTCTCCTTCTCACCACCGGAGAGAACTCTTCTAAAGATGTCACCCTCGCACCTTTCCGTTGGCAACGCCCAGGCCCCAAACCCTGTTTGTTTTTTTGCGAAGCCACAGCTGGGGTGAACAGATTTCGCTGGAAGCTTGTGGTCCACAAAGATGAAAAAGAACTGATACGCGAACACACAAGAACCAATGCCATGGTATTTTCTGTTCGGTAGTCCACTTGCCCATGTATTTCGGGATCCCTGCAGAACAGAGTCGGGGATGCATTTCTGTACTTGCAGTATCTTCAGTCTGTTAACATGGTGGCTTAATCTCCAAGCCCACCCCAAGGGCATTTTCACAGTCTCTGCCCACTAGTGACCAAGCTGCTTGACCACACCATATCAGGTGCATCAAAGGTGCTGGTCAAGCCCAGAGAAGCCCACGGAAGCTCAGAGACGCGCGTTTTCGCCGCCAGGTTCTCGTGAAGATTGTGCACATCTTTGAGACATCTGTTCCTGTG